TTAAAGGAAATAAGTCTGGGAGTACTAGAGAGGGAGTACTCACTGAGGCAGAGCTTCAACTACTGTAAATAAATACTATTGATTTGAACTTTCACATAGCTCAATAACAGAGTAGATTTAAAGGAGCATGATGCGCATAAGATTTAAAAATAAAATTTAAAAATCAGAGTCCTGGTGCCCTGGCATCTTTATGATTACAAAAAATCCTCATCTCCTCTTAGAAAAAAAAAAGAGAAAAGAAAAAAAAACCCTAGAAATATATCTGGTAGTAAAATCAATCCTCTGAACCTAGAAATTAATCTGGTAGTGAAATCAATCCTCTGAACAATCCCCTAAATCTGACATCTTTCCTTTTTCTGAAGCAAGGTTTCTTATTTGGATCTCTCATGAGTAAACTAACAGATGCTGGTAGCACCTATACTTTAACTGTTCTGCCTGCTTTGTTGCCTTAGTCCTCTCCTCCTGTCCCCTAGTCCTGGGGAGGAGGCAGTTGGTAAAGCTGCACAGCACGTTTAGAACGAGCTATTTCTGAGTGTTCTTGAAAAAAATTAGGGGCCTAACAGAAAAGGTAGCTGGGAATTTAGGGCAGGTGCAGGTCAGAAAGAGGACTACCCTGCCAAATGTGGGGGTTTGGAGTCCAGCTTCTTGTGTTCCTTGGTGGGTCCAGCCCTTGAAGAAGTCTGTTTCCTCACAGAAACATTGTTTTATCCCAAGGTGAACAGCCACGGGAGAGCAGAAGACAAGCAGAAAGAGCAGTATCATGAACATATTAGTGTCAAAGAAGCTCTTTAAGGTAATGGAACATATCTGAAATGAAAAAAGAAGATAACAGGTTCTAATTTTCACATTCTTTAATAAACTGTGAGTTTCTTATTCGTCCTGTTCATCCAAACTGGTGATTGTCTTTCCTACATTCAGAAGTCTTTCTCAAAGAGACGTGAGTTTATACCCTTTAAAGGCGGTAGTTGTACTGAATTATCTTTTAAACATTGAACTCAAACGTTTACCTTTTTGACCCAGCATAAAAGATTAATTTTATTGTTATGGAAAAGGTTTTACTTTTCTTTAATCTCAGATTCTCATTTTCCAGTCACACAGAAGGTAGTTACCCTAGAATACCCATAAAGGTATTCAAGACTTATGTTTTTGAATGACAACATTTTACTATATTTCTTTCATTTCAGCAAAGTTTCTAAGATCTTAAAAAAACCGCAGAGTTATTTTGTAGTTTAGATAGTATGTTGAGCTGGTTACTTTCCATAGTTGTGTCATTTTGCTTCCTTGATTTTTTTCCTCTCTCTTAAGTATTTGATTGAGTGGTACAGCATGAAATAGCACAGTAATTGTTCAAAATAAAATTTCCAAATTACAGTTGATGAAGTTCATTCAAAAGAAATGAAAAAATTTCCAAAAGGATAGGACAAATCTGTGGTAAATATTGAAACTAAACAGCAATAAACAATAGTTTGTACTATTTTACACTAGAAAGTCTACTTACATAATCCAAACAGCAAACAAACTCTTGCTGGGTCCCATTCTGACAGACTTATAAAATATTTAAAGAGTTTTAATATTGCATTTCAAATTGAACTTTTGGAAGTTTCTCTTGTGTGTAGCTTACTAGTTTTTAAACCAATGAGAATATTGATACATTTTGGGTTGTTTTGGTTTTGGTTTTAAATAGTATCAGTCTCTTGTTCAGCTGCTGTTCACTGATATTACTATGGTACAAAAATAAAGCTGTTGTTTTGGGTCTGTTTTTTGAAAAAAATAATATATTGTTCTTATTATGCTACGTGTGATGTGATTTTCACTGTGGATTATCCTGTTAGAAGTAATATGTCTGCAGAATTTGAATTAAAACAGATTAAATACCTGCAAAGATGTGCACTACAGATTTTGTTTTCTTCCTGAAATCTCAAAAATAAGCAATTGTTTTGAAAAGACAAGCTAAAAGTACCAAGTGGGAAAAATAAGGGCATTACCAGAAAGAATCAAAACAGTCTGGTATTCCAGGTACTTAACTTCAACCTCTCCCCCTTTTTTTTACCCTCAGTAAAGTAGGAATGTATTTTGATTGCCTCTATAACCAGTGAAACAATACCATCTTCTCAGCTTATGGATATTTCTGTGTCAGGATTCCAGCTGAGAACCTCTGTGTAATCAAATCCATTGCATTATCATTTTGGCATTTTAATATCAATGGGATCATAAGAAATGACCCAATGCTACAAGGTTTTATTTGTAACGCTGTGTACAACTTAGAATTATCTGCTATGACATTTGATAACTCAGGAAATAAACCAACTTATTAGTAGTACAGTTCTGTGTATCCTCATCAACTTCACATGCAAGCATTTATATATCTGAAAACCTTCAGTAAGTGAAATTAAAAAACAAAAAACATCCCTTGCAATGTGTCCTTGTTCAGGAGTACACAAAACCAAAATAAGATGTTTTCTAATGGCATATGAAACTGTAAACAATTTAAGTCTTCAGCGATAAGTTGAAAGGACACTTTAGTTTAGGATTTTAGGTTTTTAGCTGAATGACGCTATTATTGCTCAAATAGCGAAGAGAAGCCTTGTGTCCATGTTATTCTCAGAAGAACCTAGACTCCTATTTTGCTGTGCATGTGAAGAAAGCTTTCCACTGGAGAAGGCAACGCAAAATGTGCTTTTCTCTGTCAGCTTCCTTTCTAGCCAGCTGAGTAGAAATGGTATCTGATTTGTAGGCAGACTTATGATGCCTCCACCAACAACCCCTTTCAAAAAAAAAATCCAAAAAAAAAACCAAAACCACACCATATCCAGCAACATTTTTAAGTACACTTGAAGAGAAAAGGGGAATCAAGCATAGGTGGGCCAGGCACACAGTTTGTAGTATGCAGACATACATGATTATCAGTCATCTTGGCAACACCTTCATTTACTGGGATCCTGTCCTCAGTAATTCAGCAGATTTGTAAAAGGCCAAAAGATGTGTAGATCCTAATTCTCAGGTCTGCCTTCTAGTTCTGTTTCTTTAAGGATTAAATTTTTTTTGTCTGTTTGTTCAATTTCTGTGTGATTTCTTCTCTATTTTTCAGCAGAATATATACATATGCACACATACAACTACATATGTATGTGTATTGTTTTGTAAATGTTCTCAGTCATGCTTTTTTCTGCTTTGCATCATTTATTCATATACCTTCCATGTTCTCATTTATTTTTTGTGCAACTAAACCTTATAATAAATTATTAAATATAGCCTAACAGTGACGGAGTCTTCATGTTTTATTTTCTTCTGGGCATGGGGAGAGATGTGGAAGGGACGGAGGGAGGGAGAGAGGAAAGCAGGGACTACACTTCTATTCCATCCCCAAATAGAAAACACTGAAATAACTGTGGTGAGTGGCAAGAAGTCTGTAAAACCACACAGCTGTCAGATACCAAGCTTCTGTGCATACTTTTAAATCTAGGTTCAAGGAGCTCTGATATATTTGCTTTTGTCAGCTGAATAGTACTGTTTGCCCAGCAGCAAAATAACACCTTCTGTGTGGAAAATCATGGGTATTTATTATTCTATAGAGTTCTCAATTTGAGATGCAAAAATCATGGACATATACAACATCAAGCACATTTTTTTCTCACCCTGTCACATAAGCTTCTCATACACATAGATTTCTCAGACTGAATTAACTTTATGTAAACATATGCAGCTCCACTCTACACATCAGAGCTGTTCTAAAATTGATACTTAAGAGTTCAGCTACTGTGTAAAAATGTTTAAATTGTAGAAGTGCAAATAATCTCTAATTCTGCATATGAATCAAAGGATACATTAATGCTGCAGGCTGCAATACAACACTGACGTACCTGGAGTAGCCTGGCCCAAGTTGACTGGACAGCCACAGCAGCCCAGGCAGTGCCCAGCACAGCCACTTTGACCTTCCACATCTTGCTGGTGCAAAGAAAATAAAGTCTTTGCTGCAAATAAAAGGCTTGTGTTTTGATTACTTCATTCTTAAGAAAGAACCTAATGGTCTTTTCTTATGTTTGTGTGAGACATTTCTGTAGTTGACTTAAATCTCTGTCTACCCAAGTGATGATTCTTCTCCTCTTCTTTCTGTCCTACTATACATGCCATGAAAATTGGATCTCCTATAGCTGTTAGCAGGCTAGAAGAACATTAAAAAGAAAAAAAAAGGTTGAAGGTCTTTTCTCAACCATCAATAATTTTTTTTTGTCTTCTTGTTTTCTATGAATACACTTCAGATTCAAGTCATATGAAAAAAAGAAGTTGCAATTTGAATATATTTCCCAGCTGTCCCACATCAGGTCCCTGGTAAAGCACCAGTGAAATGCCCCCTTCCCCTCGCATCCACACTTCAGATACCGACACAGTCACTCCTACATCAATCTTATTATGACAACCTATGTGACAGTGCCTGGGTGAACTGGCATGGCAGGAAAGGTGGTTTCTGAAGCACTTTGATTGCTGGATGAAGAGCTTCATCCTGGTAAAACAGTGACCCAGCAGTTAGAATGAGTAAAATAGATTTTATAAGGACATATTGGCAGTGGAGCTTACCACCAGCTCATACAGGAGTGAGATCTGAGAGAAAATAGGTGGAAAGTCAGTCTCATATCCACTGTGAGAATAGCATCATTTCCCTAAACACAGCATAACTTCATACCCCAACTTAGGGCATGGAACGGACAAGGCAGAAGCAGTGAAATCTCTCCTCTTTTAAATTTCAGGGCTTTAATAGGGTTATTAAGGGGGAAAGAAAAGACTCAGAGTTCAAAGCATTGATTATAACAACAAAAAAAGAAAGAAGAAGCACTGAAACAGCTGTCCCAAAGAATTATGGTGAAGCTGAACTGGAAGAAATAGATAAAACAAAGGGTATCATAGTATACAATTTTTTGCTTCAATTTTACAAGTAGTGACTTGAGGAGAGAAGACATTAATAACACAAATAATAGAAAAGCTATCAAATCAAAAGGGGTAATTTGTTAATAACATGGAACAGAGTAGAATCTCTAAATGTAGCTGTAAAACATTGAAAAATATTCATCAAAAATAATGAATAGCAGTAATCATACTTTAAAATCTTCAGTTTTTCCTGTTTATATATGTTAAGATTACTATAAGATTCAGGGGATATAAAGAGCAAATACAGAAGAGAAAGGTCTTAATAAATATACAGTACGAAACATGAGTAACTCCATCTCAACAAATGACCTTACCCAGGTCTGAATAGAGTACAAAATTTTTGACAAGGCCTCTGTGATCCTCTTCCTCTTCTTTCTGAAGACATACACTTAGTCAGAAACTCAGTGGAGGAAACTGCATCGTACATGACAGTATAGTCCAAAATATCTAATTCCAGCATACAAGAGATAATGCTGGTATTGCTTACTTTCCCACAGAAATCAATAAACACCATAAAAATCCAGGTGGACTAGCAAACTGTAACATGCATAAGATTAACACTGTTTCATAAAAGCCTGGACTCAGCTGAAAAGGCCCTTTGATTCAGGGGGAAATACAATAATATGTTGCCCAAAAGTTCCAGTGGCCTCATATGTTGTGGCAGGGCAAGGAATAGATTTTCTGCTCATTATTTCTTTTCATTGGAAGCAGAGAGATTCTGGATCAGACCATGTCTCAGTCTGAAAAGACTGGGAGGTTTGCTAAAGAGGATGAGTTATGGGACAAAACAAAACTCCTCTCTCTCAGCAATTGTGGATTTAAAATTTACGGGGCTTTACTCGAGGAAGTGTGGAAAAACAGAAGAGATAACAACCCTTTATTGAAAAGATATGTGTATGTTAGCAAAACAGTTAAGAACAGTAACAGAACACAACAAAACTATACAGTGGTCCTAGGAAAGCAAAGTCTGGTAAGTACTTCTCTGTCCTATTAGCGCAGTCCTAATCGTGGCCTGCAGGGGCGCTGTTGGGTCGCAGAGGCGCAGAGCCTGCAGTTCGCTGGTGTGGTCGGCAGGGGGCGCCGCCGGGTCACCGGCGGCCACCACGGGAAGAGGGGCTTGGGGCCGGTCTCAGACCACGGGAGGAGCCGACAGGAAGATGGGGACCCCCCCTCCACCCCTCAAAAATGGAGGGAAAAAAAGGTAGGAAGGCAGTCTGCCCCTAGGGACTCACTGTGGTTCCCAGGTGGTGTCGTCTCAAGAAGCTCCCTTTCCCTCCTAGCGAGCACAGAGACTCTCCGATGAAACACAGCAGATTCGGGCTGGGGCCAAGAGGCAACTCTCAGGCCAAGCTGGAATCAGCAGTCCACGCTGGCCAGGGCAGGCAGTCCGGCAAGACAGGCTTCCAGGCTTTCTCTTTAAAATGTTCTGCACACAGACCCTGTCTCCGTCCTCCCGAGAGGGCCCCGCAGCACTACCCCCCTCCCGTCCGAGCAGAGCCAGCCTCCCAATCAGCCATTAGCCAGGAATGTAGCCAGGCTGGCTAAATCCTTTGTGAGGCTAATTGCCTCTTCCCTTCCCTTCCCCCTTCCCTGCTTGGTGCTCCCGTTTCTCTTACAGGGAAGCGGGGAAGGAAAAATTTCTCTCTCAAATTATAACCTATAACAGACCACTAGCGATATTTGGCAAGGAATACAGCAAACTTAGATAATGGTTTAAACTATTAGTTTGGATCCATCTGTGAGTATGTTAGAAGATCTAGAAAACCTCAAGATGTCACCTGGCCTCCTCTGTGCACAAAATAGGAATAGCCTATGCCTAGTTCAATATTATTCCTGACAAATCACCCTTAACATGTTGTTTCAGCTAATACCACAGCAAGCATTTAGCTGACTAAGGAACTTGAGTAAGCCATTTGTTTTTCTAAGATGAAAAAAGGGAAAAAGAAAAAAAAAAAAAAGAGAAAATGTCACTTTTTTCATGTAGAACTGATTAATTTTTTCAAGGTTAAAATTTAGATGATAAAATTTTATTTTCACATATACCTTTTTTTTAATTGGTTCTGAATAGGATAGTAGGATGAGCTGTTGACACATTCATACTTACCTGCTTCAGTATATTATGCAAATTGATTTGTTACTCACTTTTTGCAAAAAGCAATGATGATGCAGAAGATCAATAGGAAAACTAACAGCAAAACAGCAGGAGAAATTCCTCCAACTATGTAGGTAATAAACCATTTGTGATCCCAACTTGCTAAAATATGATTGTAATAAATATGATTAATATTTTGTATAAATATAGATCAGCATGAACTTTTTATGACAAACTAAATTGAAAAGTCCATGATTATATAAAGAGATCATTCCATGACAGCTCATGCTCAATATTCAGACTTCACAATTTTCTCATTTCTAAAGCACCTTTGTTACACTGAACTAGCTCTTAGGAAAGTTGTGACTGGTATGACCAAAGGTGACTGAACACAGCACAGTGGTATGGAAAAAATAGCAATGCCTTGTATAATCCTTTTTTATCTTCTTCCCTCCCCTGGTGAGAAAGGAGTTCATACATAAGTGACTCAATATATGGTTAATAAAAGCTCTCAGGCTACTTAAGCGAATGCTCTTGGCTGGTAACAAAAAGCTGGGAGGAGTAGCTGATACCCCAGAGACCCATGCAGCCCTTCAGCAGGACCTCAATAGGTTGGAGAAATGGGCAGAGAAGAACTGTCTGAAATACAAGAAAGGTAAATGAGGGGTCCTGTACTCGGAGAAGAATAACCCCATGCATCAGTACAGGCTGGGGGCCAACGTGCTGGAAAGCAGCTCTGTGGAGAAGAATCTGGAGGGTCCTGGTAGACAACAAACTGTCCATGAGCCAGCATGCACCCTTGTGGACAAGAAGGCCAATGGAATTCTGGGATGCATTAGGAAGAGTATTGCCAGCAGGTCAAGGGAGGTAATCATGCCCCTTCACTCAGCCCTGGTGAGGCCACATATGAGGTACTGTGTCCAGCTCTGGACTCTCAGACATAGAACTCCTCAAGCAGGTTCAGCTACAAAGTTCACATAATCACAGAATATGCTGAGTTGGAAGGGACCCACAAGGATCATCAAGTCCAAACCTTAGCCCTGCACAGGACCATACCTAAGAGTCACACCATGTCCCTGTGAGCATTGTCCAAATGCTTCTTGAACTCTGTCAGTCTTGGTGCTGTGCCCACTTCCCTGAGGAGCCTCTTCCAGTGCTCAACCACCCTCTGGGTGAAGAACCTTTTTCTAATATCCAGTCTAAACCTCCCCTGACACAACTTCAGGCCATTCCATGGGGTCCTGTCACTGGTCACCACAAAGAAGAGATCAGTGCCTGGCCCTCCCCTTCCCCTCAGGAGGAAGTTGTAACTGCAATGAGGTCTTCCCTCAGTCTCCTCTTCTCCGGGCAGAACACGCTAAGTGACCTCAGCCACTCCTCATACAGCTTCCCCTCAAGGCCCTTCGCCATCTCTGTTGCCCTAATGGCTTAATATCTTTCTTATATTGTGATGCCCAAAACTGCACCCAATATTCAAGGTGAGGCTGCTCCAGTGCAGAGCAGAATGGGACAATCGCCTCCCTTGACTAGCTGGTGATGCTTTGCCTGATGCCCCCTAGGACACAGTTGTCCCTCCTGGCTGCCAGGGCACTGCTGAATCGTATTCAACTTGCCATCGACCAGGACGCCCAGGTCCCTTTCTGCGGCATTGCTTTCCAGCATCGCATTCCTCAGTCTATACAAACATCCAAGGTTGCCCCATCCCAGGTGCAGTATCCGGCACTTCCCCTCGTTGAACTTCATGTGGTTGGTGATTGCCCAGTCCTCTGATTTGTTGAGGTCTCTCTGCAGGGCCTCTCTGCCTTCAAGGGAGTCAACAGCTCCTCCCAGTTTTGTGTCATCTGCAAACTTACTTAGTATCCCTTCCAGTCCTGTGTCCAAGTCATTTATGAAGATGTCGAAGAGCACGGGGCCCAAGACGGAGCCCTGTGGAACCCCACTAGTGACAGGTCACCAGTCTGATGTTACCCCATTCACTATCACCCTTTATGCTTGAGCCATGAGCCAATTGCTTGCCTACCACATAATGTGTTTATCCAGTTGTCTGCTGGACATTTTTCCAGAAGGATATGGTGAGAGACAGTGTTGACAGTTTTACTGAAATCCAGAAAGATTACATTGACTGTCTTCCCTTGATCAGTTAGGTGGCTTGCCTTATCGTGAAAGGAAATCAGGTTTTACAAGCAGGACTTTCCTCTCCTGAAGCTGTGTTACCAATGGCAGAGTTGTCTTTTAGGTGTTTTTCAATACTTCCCAGAATAATCTCCATAACTTTACCAGGCACTGAAGCTGATCAAGAGACTGGAGCATCTCTCTTATGAAGAAAAGCTGAGGGAACTGGGCCTGTTCAGCATTGAGAAGAGACGCCTGAGAGGGGACCTCATCAATGTATACAAGTATCTAAGGAGAGGGTGTCAAGAGGATGGAGCTAGGCTTTTCTCAGTGGCGCCAAGCAACAGGACAAGAGGCAACAGGCAGAAACTGATGCACGTGAAGTTCCACCTGAATATGAAGAAGAACTTCTTTACTATGCAGGGTGACCAAGCACTGAAACAAATCTCCCAGAGAGGTTGTGGAGTCTCCCTCACTGGAGACATTCAAGAGCCTCCTGGATGTAATCCTGTGCCATGTGCTCTAGGATGACCCTGCTCAAGCAGGGAGGTTGAACCAGCTGACCCACTGTGGTCCCTTCCAACCTGACCCATTCTGTGGTTCTGTGATTGTAAAGGTTGCCCCATAAGAAATACATAACAATCATTCAATACTTCCATGGGTGGCAAGGTATTTTTCAAAAAACCAGGAATATTATCTCAGTGCTCAAAAAATTTTCTCTTCCGTACTGCACACAGTTGTGTCAGTTGTTTTCTGCTCTAATTCAAAAGAAATCTGTTCACTTCTTCACAAAAAAATTGCTACAAAAATTTCTCACATTATCATCTTTTTTAATCACCTAGTACAGGACGTGCCTTGATGAGGGACGTCAGGAAACCCACCTTATTTGTTCTAGCCTAAGCGAAAAGGCTTTCTTTGAAAACTGCATCGAAGGCAGGAAATTTATAATAACTTTGCTTAAAATGCATTGGAGTCACATCTTCAAATGAAACTAAGGAGCAACACATAATAACTAAATGGTAGAGACAAACAAGACAATGGCTTCAAGGTGTAAGTCAATATATTCTTATAGTGCTCAAGTCTGTGGAGAGGTAATACTCATTTTTTAGGTGAAAAACATTGGAGGAAAGAATAGAGGTGATATTATCAAAGTCATGCAGGTAACCCACAACTCAGATCCTCAGCAATCCATTGGTGAACAAGGACTAAAAAACTGTCTTCAGGTGTAGTTCCTCTTAAAGTTCTTCTCACTGTACAGAGGTGAAACCACAGCTGCCCCAAGGTACTTTCATTCTGGGTCGACAAGAAAGTTATGTGCTTAGTTCACAGGCAAAGGAAAATAATCAGTACCACTAATGACAATAATCCCAGCTAACCAACTGCTGAGCCATCACCAGATGGCTTTTCTTTCCTGCATCAAAAACGTTCACAGCTTCTTATCTGGCTATCCTGAATACCAGATGAGGCTTGCTAACATACGCCTTTTTACTATTAATGTCCTCACTGGAAGGGATAACAAAAATACTGATTACAGAAGAGCCTTATCCTTGAATTCCAATGTTATTTTACTGGAAAGAAAAAAGAAAGAAAATTCTCTCAGAAGTATACCTGTTGTAGGTATGTGACACTTCAGAGAAGGTTGTCTGATAACAAAAAACAGCATCTTTTGTGTTATAACCACATATAAATCACTCTACGTCCAGAATGTTTTCAGCTCCAGTGTACTTAAAATGACAGGATAGTGCATATAGTTATGTCCAAATTATAATGTCTTTTTTTCCCAGCTTTTATGGCACCCACTATAGAAAATCATTATCTGTGCCAGTGAATACTTACAGAAATATGAAATATCTTATAAGCAACAAGGGAAAAATTTTAAATCTTGTATTTAATTGTCATCAAGGATGGGTGAATCTGGATAGAATTGCAGACTTCAGAAACATCCCCACCCTTCACTTTAACTGCTTTAGACTTCATTACTCTTTTTCTGAAGTTTCACATTCAGTTTTATCAGGTCAAGATAATAATCCCTCAGTTAATGAGTTTGAGAGTTGAGATTATCAGCTGTCAGTTAAATTTGGATGAGAAAAATTGTTAGTTGGGTTTTTTTTTAACTAACAACAACTCAAAGCCCTTATGCTTTTCTCATTTGAAGTGAGCAAAACCTTCCTTAGGCATTTGTTTTCTTTAACTGTACAAAACCTTTTGTAATTACTGACTTTAACATCCCAGTCAAGCTTTTGCTGAAACATGTCAGATGCGTGTCATGTGTCTCTTTAGTCCTTATGTTCTCAACAAAGGTGATATGCTGACAGGAGGTTATTAACTATATTTCCAGCATCAGTACAATTTCTGTTAAGTATTAGACAAACCATGTTCGTAGCCTTGGCATCTTCTCTGCAAGTGTGCAAAAATTTTTTGTAGCAAGGTTTTCAACCTTCAGTGCACCAACTTTGGTTTAGAGGAGGGAGCACTGATGAGCCATACAGCTATTTGTTTTAACAGGAGATTTGAACTTCGCTGTCAAGACCTTCATGTATTTTGTCACATGCATTGCTGGATTGGCACATATGGTGTGCCAACTAGACATCACCAAAATAGTTTTCCACACAACTGAAAGGCAGAAATCCAGCACAAATGCATTCATACCCAAAGAACAGTCGTTTGTTGAGTAGAGACCCACAGACATGGTTTGATATCTAGTATTTGTACTGAATGATTGCATGAAGGAAGACAGAAGCTAATTTCACTCCTATCCTGGTTCTGCTCACCCCCTTACTGCAGTCTTACCTTCTGGCTGTTTCCTATGGCCCAGAGCTCCTCCCAGCTCACAAGGGCTATATGATAACCCCCAATGACTGGACAAATAGTCCCTGCTTTTCATCTGGATGCTATGAAGATCCTATTGGGTGCAATTGAAAGACATTTAAGGGTACGGTCAACATGCATTCACAAAGGGAAGGTCCTGTTTAACTAATTTGATATCCCTCTACAATAAGGTCACCCACCTAGTGAGTGAGAGAAACAAATCCATCCTGTCTCTGCACCTGGGATGGAATAATTCTGAACACAAGTATAAACTGGGAGAGAAGCAGCTAGAAAGAAGCCCTGCAGAAAGGGATGTAGGGGTGCTGGTCAGCAGCAGGTGTGAGTGATCAGTGCCCACAGGGCAAATCGCATCCTGGGGTGCATCAAACTCAGCAACACCAACCGATTAAAGGAGGTGATTATCCCACTGTAATCAGTGTCAGTGAAACCTCACTCTGAGCACTATGTGCACTTCTGGGCCCCACAAATTTAGAAGGACGTGAAGGTACTTGAATGTGTGTAGAGGAAGGCAAAAAAGCTAGTAAAAGGGCTAGTACAAATGTAATTCTGACCCCCTAAACATACAACTGCGAACCGGCTTTTCAGATCTAGTGGGAACACACAGAAACACGTTTCTATTTTATTTTGTCCAAGAGAGCTTGCTATCCCACTTTCTGGTAAAGCAAGAAAAAAACTTATTAAATCTTTCAAAAAATGTCTAGGTCTTCAGGATGTCTAGGTCTTTCAACCCTGCTAATTTTTCAGTCCTTTCATATGACACCTCCCCTTCTTTCTGAATCATCTACCAAAACTATATGAATTGTAAGTGTGCTTCCTCTCTTCAAAGATTGTCTCAAAGGAAAAAGCATGGTAAGAAAAAAACCAGAAACAGGTTCAGATGTGAAATCTGGTGTCATGAACAATCTCCCTATTGCTAGAATTTTTAGAAGAGATATGGTGAAGAACACATCAGAAATTAATCCCAGGTCTCTTGAACACATTGTATAATTATGTAATATTCAGCTTTCTGTTTCTGTAAGAGTTGTCCAACAAAAATGACACTATTTTACATACACATTGTTTTATATGTTCCAGATTTTGAGGTCAAAAAATATTTGCAGAAGTCCAACTTCAGCTGGAAATTCCTGTTTCTGAAAAACTGCAGTCACAATATTTAGTGGGATAGAATCGATAAACTTAGTGGTAATTGATCTCATGGTTTCATTTTCACTAATGTTCAAAAATATTAAGTGCATCTGACTTCTACTGATACAATTGCAAGAAGTGCTTTCACAATGCTTGAATACCTATTCCTTCCTCTCTCCCTCTTTTCTTCACAGGAATTCCATGCTGTTTTTCTTTGCAAAAATATATTAACCTTTAGGCAAAAAGAAAACTGCATCTTTCTACTGTACCACCTCTTGGAATCAGCAGTTTTTGAACTGTTACCAGTTCTGCGAGTAGTCCCATGCTCTTAATACTACCTTTCACCCAAGATTCCTCTTCTTCAAAAGTTCTTGAGGTCTTTTCAACAACAACTTCAAAAAAAAAAAAAAAGAAAGAAAGAAAGGGTTCTTATCTTTTATCTTACCGTCTCTCAACCTACACAGAGTTTTCTATATTACTGTTTACAGTGCAGTTCTCCTCCCACCTCCTAGACTCAGTATTTAAAAAAAACTCTGCCTTTTCCCATACAGAATCACACCAACAGACTTAAGCGTTGGAAGTGCTTGGTAGCAAATCCAAGCTACAGTGTGGCTCAGCTGTAATGCTAAGCCAAAGAAAATTACATGACCGAACTGGTAGAAAATACATAATAAAAATAGTGTGTCAGGTTCCTGGCACCACTTGGTTTATTCAAGCCAGAAGTGTTGGATCAAGAAGAGTAAGTCACTCACAAGCCTGTGAGAGACTTCACTAGCTGTGTGTGATGGAAGCTGATGCCTGGCCTATCGCTTCTTCCCCCTCACTGTTTCTCCATATCACACTGGAAATACTAATCACGTGTCATGAAACAGTTGCATATGTTAAGAGAAATAAGTGGAAAGCCTTGACAATTAGCTTCCTTTGGAATTAATCAAAACTCAGTAAAATACACTTCATAATACAGAGTGAGGGCTTAAAAGGGATGCTATGGGTTTTTTTCTGAATCATAGTGTACTTCAGATTCTTTAATGCTTTCTTCTCTTTTTTTCTAATAAACAGGTATAACTATACTGCCATTGCTAGGACTAAAAAACATAAACTGAATTTGTTACAAGAGCAAAAGGAGCATGGAAACGAAACTCTTTGTGTAGTTAGAACTGATCATTCCAAAAGTTAATGAATTTTTTGCAACTCACTATATGTTTTCATTTTGGTATGAGAAGCATTGCAGCTAAAGTAAACAGAAAATATTTCTATTGCTCTACAGTTAGGATATGCTTGATTATATCAATACAGTCAACATTTTGAAATTCCAAAGTTTAAAATTGTCAGAGGTGAGAGGACGTTTTGTCCTGTTTTCTCTATTCTTCTCTATTCTCTTAGTTCCTGTATTCTCATATTCTGCTCACTTTCATGGATTTTTGTGGTCAAGTATTCAGAGTAAAACAGGTCATCATATTTTTTTCCAAACACAATCTTCACTTCTCAATTAACCTGATCACAGATTAAATATATTCTGCAGTTTTACACCCCATGCTACAGTACTGTCTAAGAGATGTCTACTAACACTCATGTATTACCAGGAACAAAAGAAGAAAAATGAAAACTGGACTGAATGCAGCAACAGAAGTAGGAATGGGGTGGTACAAGAATCATGTCTTCAAAACATGTTCTATAGAGATGAAGCAAAACCAAGTCTTTTTCTTTTTTTTTTTTTTTTTTTTTGAGTCATAAGAGAAAGTAGACATAAAGGTGGGATTCAACACACAGTTTGAGAAATCTTCGATATGTGTGTGGGGACATGTAGCTCCCATTATATGCTAACTGTGACAATAGTTACAGCAAAACCTAGAAAGTTGAGAGAGCTCCACGAGGAAACTCCCTACCTGAATAGAGGTCAGTTTACAAAATTCTACATTTTCAACTATGAGTGTGCTCATTGCCTTCATTGAAGGACAGGTCTCATCCCCAGGGCCCTGCAGTACACTGTGCTAATGGGGAATTTCCCTTGCACCTTCTTTGGGAGAATGTCCACCTCTCCCTACAAACTAGGGCAGTCTTTCTCCTTCCAAAGCATCTCCTTCTTCTAAGTTATATGAGGAGTGGCTGAAGGAGATGGACTTCTTTAGCATGGAGGAATGGAGGGTCAGGGGAGACCTTTTCACTCTCTACAGCTACCTGAAAAGGTTGCAGAAAGGTGGGGATCAGCCTCTTCTCCCAGGCAACTAGCAATAGGTCAAGAGGCTCCCTCAATCTTCAGCAGGGGAAGTTCAAGTTAGACATCAGAAGAATTTCTTCACTGAAAGGGTGGTCAGGCATTGAAACAGGCTTCCCAGGGAGGTAATGGAGTCACCATCCTTAGAAGTGTTCAAGAAACAACTGGACATGGCACTTAGTGTTAGGGTTTAGTTGACATGATGGTGTTTGGTCAAAGGTTGGACTTGATGATCTTGCAGGTCTTTTCCAACCTTACTGATTCTATGATTCTATTCTATTCTATGATTCCTAACATCAAAATGATTGCTCACAAACAGTTCTACACTCCTATAATGAGATCAGACAAGCTTAAAGCCAGTTTATTTCTGTGGAAATGAGATTGTTAACTTTGCTGTCTTTTACATCCTGCTAGTTGGAACACAGTACTTAAATAAATCCTCACTTGTTACTGAAGAGTTATTTTGTATGGGTAAAAGTGCTAATGCCTCAGAAGGTCCTGTTTTGAAAACATTTAACACTTCTTCCTTTACTTACCAGCCACAGCAGAACTCATCACATAGGTTTTGTTTCTTCCAGCAGCTACACAGCAGTACATTGCAAAGTCGGAGGCTGTAATGTTTCGAAAGAAAATCCTGGAGTTTGCCTGATGAGAACAATCCACCAGTGTATGCTCTTTGAAATCTGAACCAAAGCTTTGCTTTCCTGAAGAGTTGCACAGAATAACAATATCTACTCCATCTGCTTTAATCCTTTCCCACATTGCTTGCTGCACCGAATCTCCAATTTTATAAAGGCAAGAAAAAATAACACTTCCTCTTGCTTTGGTAAACACGGTATTATTTTGTTTCTCAGACACTTCAAAAGCATCTGTTGAAAAACACAAAACCCAACAAAAACCTGCTTATAACTCACTCAAGGGAAATGTAATATCAGCAATTCCTACATGGCAAATATTAATGAAATTGACTTACAGCAGAAAGATATTTAAATAATTTGAAATGCTGAAAAATATCATTTATACCCATCTATGACTATATTTTTGTGCACATTTAGATAAAACTGTTTATAGAACTGTGGGGCTGTGATGACACTGCAAGAAAGCTATTTCTATTCATTTCGAGTACATGAATGTTCTATTAACAATTTCAGAAATTCAGCAGCATAAATTATGGGGCCAGTCTAATTAAATTTGTGATAGTCTTGTTCTGCTTTCACACTAGTTATCATAAGAAAGTGGTTTGATGTGACCCTCAGGACATGCATTAGTAAATTATGTTAAAAGTCATTGCAGCCTATGAGCTGCAATTCCCCCATTCACAAACCTTACGTCTTCAATAAAAAAATTTTTATCCCTTCATATGCTCTACTTGTGAAAAACCGCTGTGATAGTCTGTCTGTGGTATGAAAGACTTCCAGACAAATTCGAGACTTCAATCATGTAGAAACCATAGATGCATTATATCTCAAATAATTTTGACTGAAATCCCCTTGCTCTGTTATTGTTTTTAGTAATATAATTCACTGATTACAGATTAAACACATAAATTTTTAAAAGTCTTCAATTGAAAGATTGTCAGAACCACTCGATTTCTAACAACTTTGTAATGCCTATGTCTTGTAAGTTAGGACTAGCACTGTCATCTTTCTGAAGAATTTGGAATCAGACTGTTTATCCTACATTGTAAAATCATTAATCTTTCAAGTTCTTCAGTGAGATCCTTATTTTTATTAGATGTTTTTAAGTAAAAGAAGTTACTACTGTATATTTTTAATGTGTTTGCCTCTATCTGTGGCAACAACTGGAAAGTAAATATCTGACCTAGGAAGAAATTATTCCAATAATGTTGACAGGATAGAGCCCCTTGTGGGAGCCTGTAACTTCAGAGATTTGTTCAGTCTCTGTGAAACAGTGAATGAAAAAGTCTAACCTGAAATTTTTTATCAATGGAACACAGCACAATAAAATTGCATTCCCTCTGCCTTTGGAGACCAGAAACATGATTAAAACATTGAAATATTGAAAGACAAAAGGAACTGTGTTTAATGAGTTTACCTAAAAGAAAATTATTAAGAACTTAAAGATCCATGTAGACTGCAATCAAAGAGACTGAAAGTTAATGACAGACAAGGACAGAAGAGAGATAAATTCACTAAATTAAACAGAAGGTACAATACAGTGAAGCTAATTGATTCCTTGGACAGCTTGCCAAAGACAGCTAAATTTCTAATACTGAAGTTGCCTGCCAAGGCTGGATAATCATTTAAGTTATCGTGCTAGTTCCAGCAAGAATTTTTATTCATGGAAGTCTAAGTGTTATTCAAATTAGACTAAATCACTGCTATGATGGGACTCTACACTTGCAAAATATGTTCATTGAAGTGCAGTCCCTCAAAATTCACTGCATTAAAACAGGTAATTTTTTTATACCTAGCAGATGCAGATCTGTAGATTCATTCAGATCTGCTAGGGAAGTAAATGTAAAAGTGATTGAAATCAATTCTCTCTCTGATACATCATATTCTTTGAGGTCAGATCCTTTCCTCAGACCTCTAACTTCCAGCAACTGCCTGCTTTACAATAAACTGCATATTCCTTCCAGAGAAGTCTTACCCTTCTTCATTGTGCAGTCTTTGCTGTCATCTTCCACTATGAGCAAGCCCTACTGCTGTCCACATTCTCCTCAGAAGCCTTGAGGTCTCCCCATCTTCTCCTGGGTCCGTCCTTCTGGTCCTATTTGTTTCACAGCAATGCCACCCTGAACTCCAGGTATGTAAACATGCTTAATAGGGAAATTATGTGTATGATGATGCTACCTTCCACCTTCCAGAGGATTCCCATCTGACCCAAATGACAGCCAGCCAGGACCTTTTAACAACCAGACTTCTTCTCTGCTGCTGTGCTATATACTTTCTAGAAAAATGTACATTATACATATGGTCAAGTGGGAACAGAAAGATAAAATATTTTCTACCAGAATTATTAAAATCCCCTCTGTCTTAAAATTTATTAGTTAACCCTTGTGCTATATTTGCCAAACAACATATCCCAGTTTCTCAATAATACACGATATTACAACACTGTGATGTGCTTTAATGGGTACCTTGCAAAGCTAAGATTGCCTTCCAAATTCAGTGGAGACTTTCCAGATATGAATCTTGATATAATTGTATAACCTGCTGGTATTCAAATAATAAATGTTATGTTAATAGTGAGAACTGTGCACAAACAGCCAAATTAAAATAGAAACAGTTTGGAGATTCTTGGCTGTTCTATGTTCTATCATAACTATTTTCAAGCACAGATATTATGACTTCTTTTTTTTGTATATGTATTTTATTTGAAACTATGCAACAACATTAAGGTATTTTCACTCTTGATGAACAATGTAAATACCTCCCCTTCTTACAATATGGTACCTTGAACAATTTATATGATTGTGTAAGGTACAAACAATGGAGAATCAGGCCTACATAGTTCTAATTAGATCTTCTAAGGACACTAAAATATTCCAGGCTTTTGTTTTAAGCAATTGTCCCATTTTATTTTGATACCAGCATCAGCAGAGTTCTTTCATCCTCCTTCTCCTCTGTTCAACCACTTACTTTATTTAGCATCTTTCTAAACAGTTTCTTTGCTTTCAGTTGGGTATATGTGGGATGAAAACCTCCCTCTGTGAGAAACATTTCTACGGGAAAAAAGCACACCCACACACCTTCACCCCTACACATGCACAACCCAAGATGACACACCATGTGTGAACATTTCAGAAATGCTAAATAAAAATTTATCATTACATCTGATAAAAGTAGGTTTCGCCTGCCTGCCGCTCACTCCAGACACTGCCACTGCTGCCCATGGTCATGTCATCCTGCTTCCTGAACAGAAAGTAGGAGGAGGCGAGAGCACTCACGGTCCATGGGCCTCTGCTTAGTAAGGAAGTGCTCTTATGCTTGTTATCCTCCATGCACCTGTTTCGGCAGGATGTTATCTCATATTTTGCAGTTGTATCTATTTTTATCTGCTATTATTTAAAGGGGAAAAATACAAGCTTTCATATTTTTAAGAGACATAATCTTCTAATATTTTTCTTGGAAAGCAAATCTCAGAAATATAGAGGTATAAAAGAGTTTAGACCAACCCTACAGGATCTAAAGGATCAAACAACTAAACTAAAATTCTGCAGCAGAGAAATAGTTGAAGTTGAGAAAATCTTTTGGAGAAATAATAAAATAGTAGTGTGATTTCCTCCCTGCTCCCTCCACTTGCTTCAAGGACTTAAAAGTCAAGATAAATCTCATGTAAAAGTTTGATCCCAATTCTTTTGGGTAGCGATTTTCAGCCTTTCTCCTTTTTTCCTTCATGTATCATCCACTTATTTTCTATTTTATTTAGTTTGGTTTTTTGAGTTTTTTTTGTTCTTTTGTTGTCTGATAAGATTAGCTGATTTTGTTTCTACAGAAGGAAGTTGCTTAGATATCTTCACCTGTATTCAGGTAGTTTATTCATTTTTAAATTCAGTATCTATGATGTTTTAGTTCCTGTTCACTGTAATTTTCACCAGTCCCACACGTATAATTTTCCACAAAGTTCCAAAGTTGCACTCTGGATCTGGATTGCACATCAATCTCATGCACCCCTCTTGGTTTAAAACCATATACAAAGAAAACAAGATTCAAACTTCAACATCAGCTCTGCAAGTCCAGAAAGGCAAAATTCAGCACAGTAAAATAAAATGTATTGAGATACCCCTCTGTCTTAACACGTTTCTGTATCTCTGCAGAGGCTTAAAGCGTAGGTCAAGTACTACCAGAGCTGGTTTTATACCAAGACAGTTGCACCAGCTGATGGAGGCAAGTGAACACAGAGCCGAGCAACAAATGAAGGGAATCATATCCTATCCTAAGCCAGACCAGCACACAGATATTTTCTATGTGCTCGCATTTTTTAAAAGGTCAGGACAAGCTCATAGTTCTCAGACTGATGGTAATAGAGCTACCTTCAAAGTAGCTACCCTTAGGAAGTAATGTTCTCCTTCAGAAATAACTAATGATCTTAGCAGACTTATCAAAACTGCAAAGCTATCTTAGCTCTACAGCAGAGACAGGTTCCCAGGTCCCATTTGGTTTGCTGAAGTTCCACATACAAACACAACTTTCTTCATCTGCTTGAAATAAGCAGTGACGAAAAAACAATTGCAGATGAAAAGGAGGCTTAAAATTTTATGAAGATGAACTTTCTCTGGGGCTCTTCTTTTCACCAAGAAAATCAGCTTTCAGGAGAGAAAATATTTTGAGTGACTCCTTCACCTTTACT